GTGTGTGTGTGTGTGTGTGTGTGTGTGTGTGTGTAATGTTAATGTAAGTGAAAGTATTGTTTGAAAGCAGCGCTTGGCCAAACTTTACATTGTCACAGTTTTACTCTATCCGGTGTTTAAATTCATATGATTATTTAATAGTACCTAAAACACACATCTTGATTTAATGCAATTAACCACCATGCTGGAAGTAAATCAATTTAGTATTCTCAAAATTTAAATACTAATATATTGTGCTTGTGAAGAATACATTGCCTTATTTTGTTTCCMGTCTTTGTTCATCTTTTATACAGAAGTATTGGATTGATTAGTTTTCTCAGGCCATTTAAAAGTGGTGCAAAACCATATGTCACTGCAGCAATCAATTAGTACTTAAGTAGAACACAAAGCTGCATTGGCATGAGCCCCATGAGATATGGCTGTCATCTACTTGGTCAGGGTCGGGAGGCTACAACAGTAAGACTGCTCGTCTGCATTTTTTTTTCTTTCTTCCCTTATCTACAGATCAAACAGCTCCACCTTTTATACACTGTCAGCAATTCCCTTTCAGGCTTTTTTTTTTCTAACATATTTGACACATTGTCTTGACACTATCTTTGAAATCTGTTAGCAGWTTTTTTTTCTTGGAAATGGTGATATCTGTTGGGAACCCTTAAACATCAGATATTTATGAGTGTTTTGGATCACAATTAGAAGGACTTCTGAGAGATTTGGATTACACATACTGTGCAGCGTGTTGACTGGACTTTAGATGAAATGGTCTTTGTTCAAAAATGTCAAAACTATATCAAATACTGTATCTATGATATCTTACTGAATGAATGTCCACTGCATGGATTTTGATTTGCAGTGGGAAAAATAAAATAAAATTATTTAACATCATGTACAGTGCCAAGTTACTTAAGTATTTCCTATCAAGATCAAAGGAGAGAATTGACAAGTGGTCAAGTACAGATGAAGATTTAGAGCTTAWTCCTAAGGTTGAGATTTCATAATTTTTTTCAGTGTGACCAAAATGGAAAGCAGGAGTAATAAAAATAAAATAAAATGGGCCACTGTGTGCTCCTGTATATATTTATTGTTCTTCTCTTGAAATAAATAGAATTTAATCTTTATCAACTATTACACTTTAATCAACCTATTGGAGATGATGTTTCT